ATAACAGGACTCTTCTCCATTTCTGAAGGCTTAGTTGGAAGCTTTTGGCATTCAGGTGATTTTGGAGGACTCCTCCTGCTTGGTGTTACTGGAGTCTCATGAAATAGTAACGCCCTCGAAGAGTTAATCTCTTCTTTCATATAACTATCATGCTGTGAAGGTTTCTCAGGGGACTTCTTATCTTTCAAACCTTTTACTGCATCTACTACTGCGATTCCAGCTAGTACTGGAGCACCTACAATTGCCAGCAGCCCTAATTTTGCAGCTTCTTTCATATTAACACTGATTCCAGTCTTGGCATCCTTAACTTTTCCAGTTCTTGGGTCTATCATTCCTTTCTCAACTGCTTCACGGGTTGTAACAGGCTTCCCACTTATAACATCATATATAACCGCTTCAGGATCAATTATTCCTTTATCTAAGGCTTCCTTAAATGTGTAATTCTTTGTTGGGGAATTTGGATCACGGAACTTCTTAGTTTTATCTTCATAAAGTGTCTCAAAGGCTTCTACTGGATTTAGTTTCTTGACCTTTCCTGCAGGATACTTAGTGGTATCTCCTGAATTCTGTGCAGGCATAGTGTCCAGTAAGCCATCTTTGATGGCTTCTGAAATGCTCATTAGCTCTCCTGTTGCAGGATTTGTGTATGTGCCAGCATCAAGATCAACATATCCCTGAGCTATTGCATCTGAAAATGACATCTTAATTTCCCTTGTTGTAAATTCCTCTTTAGTTTCTGATTCATCTTTAACTATACCTTGCCTTCGAGCTTCATCAAGGGGTATCACTTCTCCTGTCTGGGTATGTTTTACTTCATCTGGTCCAATCAATATGTAGCCATGTTTCAACTCTATTGTCTTTGTTGTGATTGTATGATATGAAGTCACAGTTTCAGTCACAGCAGTCACCGTTCCAGACGGTTCAAGTGTAGTGAGCTGTGGTACCGGTTTGATGACTAGTATGCCACTTTCAACAGCTTCTGACACAGGTATCACTTCTCCTGTTTTGGGATTCCTGAATGTTCCTTTCTCTCCATCAATAAGATTGCGACCCAAGGCCTGAGTTACCTCAACACTAAAGGGTGACACAGGATATGGCAAAGACATGATAAAATTGTCTTCAATAGCTTTCTCTACAGGTATCCTAATACCTGTAATGGGATGCAAAATTTCTTTGGTTACTGGATCTATCAAGCCACGTCTCAGTGCCACAGGGAATGTCATGCCAGCAGGAGGCAGTCCTTTAAATGAACTTTCATGAGGAGATTTCTCGAACACCTTCAAGTCCTGTGCTGCAGTTAACAGATCCACTGAGCCACTTGGTGTCTTAATCAGTGACTTATCCTCATCTATACAACCCTTAGCTATGGCTTCCTCCAGTGTCACTTTACTGCCACTTGCTGGTTCCACCATCTTTGACAAGGGATCCACAATCTCGCACACAATTGCTTCACGTAATGACAGGTATGTTCCTGTTTCTGGATGTACAATTTTCTTGGCATCTGGGTCAATTAGCCCCTGTTCCAACAATCCTGGAACAGACAAACTGTGAGCTATAGGAACCAGAAGACGGCCAGAGGGACCTGTAGGATCCAATATTCCACGATCCATGGCTTCCTTGATGGTTAGGACATCCCCTCGCTGGGGATCCAAAATTGCACCCTTATTTCCATCAAGCTTGTTACAACTCAGAGCCTCTGCTAAGCTCAAACTCTCACCATCTGAGCCTTTAAAAATCTCAGGCTTCTCCAAGATGTCAGCAGTCTCCTTGTCAATCATTCCTGTCTCAACAGCATCACATGGTTTCACGACCTTCTTACGCATCTTCTGCAGAACAACTGGTTTTGCTTCACGTTCAGGGCTCTGTGAAAAAGACCTTGCTCGGCCAATTGCTACTCTGAACTTCGGTTCAGTTGTCACTCGTCCTCGTGTACGTTCTGCGGCAGATGGTCTGTCATCATCATCCAATGGTATTGTTGTTGTGCTCAATGTCTTAACTGGCCTACCACTTTCAAGTCCATCCTGAGCAGCTGCTGTCAACTGTTTTAAGTCCTCAGTTGTGAGTAGTCCTTTTTCAACAGCTTGCTGAGCTGTTATCTCCCTCCCAGTAGTTGGATCTTGGATCACAACAGATGTAGATACTATCTCAGTCTTTGTAGTAACTACTTGTTCAGGAGAAGTTCCTTCTACTAAACGTTCTGTTGCAGCCTCAAAACTACGTAAGGTCTCAGCATCAATAAGACCACGTTCATAAGCCACTTCTATTGGCACATCCTCACCAGTATTTGGATCAGCGACCAAAGCATTCTTGATAACTTGGACACTTTTCACAGCAGCAACTAGAGGTGCACCCACAACAGCTAGCACTCCAAACTTAGCAGCTTCAGCTAAAGAAATCCTACGTCCTGCTTTATCTTTGTAATGCCCAGTTTCCTTATCAACAATCCCCTTTCTCATGGCTTCATTTATATTCAGACTCTTTCCAGTGTAAGGATCTTTGACTTTCACCATCCTTGGCTCTATTTTACCTGCCTTCACAGCTGCCAGAAGATTGTCTGCTTTGCCAGACTCTGTGAAGATGACTAACGCAGTAGCAGGATCATATATAATGCCAGGTGCAACCTGCAAAGGCTCCAGTGTAGAAACATCAACCTCAGAGCTCTTTATTTCTCTAAATGTTGGCAGATTTCCAGCAGGACTGCCAACATCTGACAGCTCAACTAGATCAGGTTTTCCAGTAATTTTTGTAATCTGGATTAGTCGTGAAGATGTATGATCATGCTCCATTCTTCCCTCTAAGATCACAAAGTTCTTGGCAATAGCTTCTTTCATTGGAAGTTTCTTGCCTCCACTAGTATAATGCCCAGTTCCATCCAGCACCCTCTTCTCTAAACTTCTTATCAAAGATATCTTCCTCCCATTGTTTGGATCAATAACAACGGCAGAAGATGGGTTTATAATACCAATTTTTACACATTCCTCAAACGAGACAAGCCTGTCTGTACCAGGAATAATGAATAAACCAGTAACTGGATCAAACAGTCTTTGTTCAATTGTCTCAGACAGGTACCAGCCATCAGGAGGTAGTTCAAATACTTGTTTCTGCATTGCTGCTGCTTGCTGTTCATTGGCCAGAAATTCTGCAGAATCTGCTTCACAAGAAGGTATACTAGTAGAGGTTGGTGAAAGAGATGTACACACAGGGGAGGAATCAATAACATCCTCTGATGGGTACTGTAGCAGTTTCTGCTTCACAGGAGATGAACCACTTCCAGGGGATGTTCTTCCCTTTCTAGGTGAAGGAGACCTTCCCTTGCCAACAGCCATATCAAAGCCTGCTTTTTCCTTGACTGGAGATCCAGCAGGGCTTCTTCCTTTCACAGAAGATTCAACTGGACTATGATCAAACTTTCTTTCTTTTATAGGTGATGAGTTCCCAGAACTGTGACCTTTTTCCACAGGCTGTCCATGCTCCAAGGATTTTTCTTTTACTGGAGATGTACTACCAGAACTTCTAGTCTTCACTGCATTTCCTCCTGGAAATTTTGTAGGTGAGGCTAAACCTGAAGTCTTTTGTCTTATAGGTGAAGAATTTGGACTGCTCTCAGAAGATTCAAAGCCAATTAGTTTCTCACTCATTGCATCCTGGACAGACAGCACCCTCCCTGTATCAGGATCTCTGAAGGTCTGATTTATTTCATCAATCAGACCTCGGCGGATTGCTTCACCAAATGTCATCCTAATATCAGATGTTGTGACACCACTGGAAGTGACGGTCACAAAACGCTTTATAGTTTTTGTGACAGTCTGTGTGGTGACAGTAATAGCCAGGAGACTTCCTAACAAAGCGGCTCCCTCGGGAGTGATCAGTCTACGCCGAACAGCCTCGTCCAATGGGAGAAGTTTCCTGTCTTTTGGATCCAATAATTGGCCTGTTTTGGGATCAAGGTAACATTTTGCAACAGCCTCCAGAACAGTCAATTCTCTTCCCCTATCTCTGATACCTATCTTCCTGTTCAACATTTCCAAAACTTCTGGCCGAACAAGGTTCAGTTTTACAGCCTGATCCATAGAAATTGTCTTTCCTAATTTTGGATCTACAACAAACATTGCTACACCAGTTTTCATGCTCAAAACACCTTTTGCTACTGCTGTATTAAGGCTAACAAAGTCAGTACCAACTGGATCTTTAAATCCATCAATATCAAAGATTGATTTCACAGACACTGATGTTATTAATCCCCTGTTGACAGCTTCTGGTATCGTGCAAATTTCTCCTGTTGATGCATCTCTGAACTTTCCTTCTGGAAGGATTATTCCTTCAGCCAGTGCTTCAGATAGTGTCAGTAAGTCATCTGTTGTTGTATCTGTAATGCTTTTCACATTATCTGAATCAAGGACACCTCTTGATATACATTCCAAAAGTGAAAGTCTGTTTCTGTGTAATGGGCTAAAAATCTTTCCTGTGTTATCAATCAATTCCATATCACAGCAGTCTTTTAATGTCAACGGCTTAACAATTAGCTTTCTCCTTTTTGCCTCTCGTAATGGAAGAACTTCTTGAGAGAGTCCGTGAAAGTATTTCCCTTGCTTTGGATCTAGAATTCCACTAGCAATTGCCTGAGCAACAGTAACTTTATCATCTGCAGAGGCATCCACAACCTCTCTTATACTTGGATCAATAATTCCTCTTTTAATTGCAACTGCCAGTGGGTACTTGTCGCCAGAGTTCCTATCCACAATTTGCCCACTGTGATCATTTAGTAAGCCTTGAGAAATTGCATCTGACAGAGAAATTCCTGGATTGCTTGATTTCTTCTTTCCTTTTTCACCTGTAGGATCCCTGTCAATTAAATTCCTCATAAATGCTTCCTTTAACGTAATTTGTTCCCCACCTCCTGGATTTGTAAATTGCCCCGTCTCTGGATGAACCATCCCTCTTGTGATCGCCTCAGCAATGCTAATTCTTTTGGGTTGGTCCTCATCACTAGTATACATTACCTTAACCTGTCCTTCTGCTGAAGTCGCAAGTCCCCGTTCTGCATCAAGCAGTTCTCGCTGTATTGCTTCCAGTAGTGACAGTTGTCGTCCAGATCCACCATCTTCTTCAATAATTCCGCATGGTCCAAGAAGCTGTTCTGCAAGAGCAGGATCTACAAGACCCCTATCTGCTGCATCTTCAATGCTGACTGCTGGTGATCGCCCATCTGGTGACGTTGCTATTTGACCTGTTCTCACATCTAGAATTCGAAGTCTTATGGCATCACCAACAGTCAGTACTTCTCCAGTTGAGGGATGGATGATTCCTCGACTTTCTATGATGCTGTCGGTTCCAATCCCTTCTTCTACTTTGTGTATCCTCTTCAATGATCGTATCTCTGAAAACTGCATTGAGCTTCCAGACCAATTCATGGGAGAATCCTTAAAAATCTTTGAAGGACTCAGCCCAGAGCCAGCCTCACCGTTTCTTGAAACAGAAGCATTAGGATAGTTGCTGGTCCCTCCTCTTGTCTGTGCTGCTGAGTTGTAAGTTTCAGACTCCGGCTTTGAGCGCTTCTTTGTAGGTGGTCCACTTGGTGTGGTTACAGTTACAGTTGCTACTGATGCTGCAGTGTTGCGAGAGCCATCTTTACGTGTTTTCACACTGTTGATGTCATGCTGAGCAGATGGACTCGTCTGACGGAAAAACCTGCTAAATAAACAATGTATTTCCAGCATCACCAAATGTCCTTCAAACCATTCATTCATATTGACTTTCAAAAAAACTAGTCTTAAAAATCATACTTACACTACTAAAAAGGACATTATTTAATACCACTACTAAATGCATGAATATGTAAATTAAGCCTTAAAAAATCAAGACAAAATGACTAATACATAAATATCCCTCTTAACACAGCAGTATTTAAATAACAACATCTCTGATCATCATTACTGTTCAGAAATAAACAAACACATTATACAACTTCACATAGTGAAGTGAAATATGGACATTTCATCAAAAGTGTAACACTTCTTTAAGAATGCGTCTTTCATCATATGCTCCAAGCACTTAAACCCTGATTACACTTCTTATACATAGACACAAGCTCAGAAAGTCTATTCCATAACAGAACACACATAATCGTTATGGATTATTTGCAACGTGCATTTACTTGTATTAAATATACTTTACTTTGTAGTTCCCACTTTGGCCACCAGATCACAGCACATGATTATGAATTAAAATTATAAATATGAAAGATACCTATTTTTCCAAGTAAGATTTCAACATTTGTGAAAAACAATAAATACATTTAAGAATGTGTACACAACATGCCTGCCCTGAGATAACATACCAAGGAATCACATGCAAATACTACTCATATATACTTAAACGTTACCAACAGTCAACATAAACTGTCATCAGCAAAGACTAAAACCAGCTTCAATCATGTATGACGAAAAATGGAAACCACACAGAATGTGTTGATAATTTGTAGTATTTCTGCTTGATAACAAAACATTTCTTTCCAAAATATAAATGTGTTATTCACAGATTTTACAAATTATATTCCATAAAAATTGTTTGTCTGAACAGTAATATAATGCTCCGAGATGACATGGCAAGCACATGCATACACACACATTCAAAACGTGTAATATGGACTACCAGATAAAACACAACCATAACAATTCGCCAACAATTTTTATCATGATTTTCCAATGGAATATGTTTCCAAAGGATACAATTTACTTTCCAATAATTCACATTACTTCTTCAGATATAATTAACATATTAGAATATAAGATTTGTAATGAAATTAAATACAAAAATTAAGTTTAAGACACTATAAAGCATCCCACCCAAGAATGGTTGTAAGCATATTAACCCTACTCCAGCAATAACAAAATGTATACTAGGCAATACAAGTTTCATTTAATCAAGTGACTTGTTTCATGCTACATGTATTACATAAGAGCAGGTGAAAGTTACATAAATTGTTCCCTATATGGCCTACTAAAATAGAACTGGTTGCTACATGCAGACATGTCTACTCTTACCCTAACCACATATAAAGTATTGTTGTTATCATTCAGAAAGCTGTTAGGCTGCATGTCGAGAATAAATGTGGGTAAAAATCAAATGACATTAAAACAGACCAACATGAGAAACAAAACTGTTGAAGAACGATTAACTTCACACTTCAAGTTGCAAAACATTTCCCAGCAATACTCACTCTGACTGTGTTTCATAGTGAACACTACTATTGTAAGTTCTGGAATCTGTGGTATCCGTTGTAGATGATTCAAAAATGTTGAATTCAGTTCGAAATGTTCTCATTTGCCGGGGTTCCATTTCAGTCACCAGCAACTGTCAAAACAAATTAATATCAGTAATTAAAATATTAATATTACTCTTGCTGTTGTAATACTGGTACATATTATTAGAACCTGTAACTTCATACAATAATCTTACACTTATTTATTTATGGTTTACTTAATGATTCTGTCAGCAGGTCAGACAACATACTGTCAAATGATAGACTGATTAATGAATCATGAATTGTAAAGGATGTGGAAGGAAGTGGGCACAGCATAATGTTAAGGTACTATCCCTGCATATGTCTGGAAGGACTGAAGAAAAATAAGAACCTCATGAATATAAAGCAAGAATGCTAACCACTCATCTGCAACATTCAGTAATAATTTTACAATGAGCCAAATGAATTCAATCTGCAGCTCAGATTTTTATTTTGTTGCATAAACAATGCTCATGGTAGTGATTGTCGCATTGATGATAATAAATAAAACAGCAGTAAAGACAGCAGATGCTAAATTAAGAGAATATTAAGAAAAACAAGTGTACATGCATATGTTTGTAATACAAGCTATTTACATTAGACTATTTGTTAATCATAATGTGTAATGCATACTGGTAAGGCTAGACAGTTACAAACATGTCGTAACTAAAAATGATGAGAACAAAACTAGCAGTGCCAATTACCACTTCAGTTTTCCCTGATTTTAAAACCAAACAGCACCAAACCCTTGCAATACTTAACACCTTCAGTAGATGCAGTTTGCCATCTGACAAATATTTACAACCTCAGAGAAGTAACTTTAGAAATGTTTCTAAGAAGCAAGATTTTTAAATACAAAAATGATACATGTCAATAAAGCTGTTATCTATGACATCATCATCTAAATAAAAATGACCTTGTAAGTTCGCTCATACAAAAATATCTTCCAGTCTCAATAAATTCCACTCAGTTAATTGGACATAATGCGCAATCAATTATGGTATTCAGCATACCGATGTGAGTAAAGATAACAATGTTTCTCCCATTTTCATTTCTTTCATTGTAACAAAATTATGAAACTTGAGGCAGAATTTAATACCATATTTCCAACTTCATACAGTATATAAGATTATCTGTACCTATGTCCTCAATTTTGAAACAAATACAAAGATACCTCACAAACATATCTACCTTATCCTCAGTTTCTTTGTCATATTATTTAATTACACTGTAGCCACACTTATAAGCGTATGTAAAACTAGTAAGGTGTGGTAATATTATTGTAAATAATGAAATAAGTGAGAAAAACAACTAAAAACTTCAGCCAGGATAGACGAAACTAACTAGATACCCCTCAGATGTTAGTTAAACATGGTACTACTGTGTCAATCCACTCTGACCAAAAACATCTGCACCACTCTGGGGTATTATGTGCTTTAATGTTCTCTGACTTTTGTGCATATTCTTCCTCCCATGTAATTAAACCTAACACATTTACCATACTCAACTTCACACACTTTCCATGCTGAATATTATAAAAAAAGATTTTATTGTATAACTGATGAACCTATGCTCAGAGAACATGATAATCTTATGTAAACTCAGTATTAAACTCAGAATTAATTTATAATTATAATGTAAGGATATACTCAATGAATACCTACATATTTTGCTAATTTGTTCTTGCGATGTTGCATACTACACCAATTTTGATATTAATTAACTGCAGATAAATACCCATTGTTTCAAAGCTAAACTACACTGCACAAAGTCAGAAATGATTTTTCCTTGTATTTGTGAAATATTTGATATCAAAAAAAGGTTCCAATATATTTTATACACCATAATGTGAACCTTATTTAATGTCACATGCCAGTCATCTGCACAATTAAAATTTTTCATAAAATTTATGAAGTTAAATTTTATTTCACTTAAAGTAGTAAGATATCTGATCGACATGAACCAACATTAAATGCAGCCAACACATTTAGTGAAATCCTCAATACCAAATGTAATTAAAATCCACAGATTAACTTCAGACATGAAAGAAACAGATGGTCAGACATAACTTTCTTGTAAAGAACATACAACAAACCACTATCACCTTAGACTTCTTCACGGCAGAAAATCTGCCTTCACTGGATTTCCTTGTGGCAGAAAAATCATTCACTTTTGCCTTCTTCATTGTAAAAATAATAAATACTTTGAAACACCACTAATACAAAATTTAACACTACTGAGCACATTACTTTCACATACACAGCAGCTTGCCTCAAAGAGACTGAAATGCCTTCAGGCTGTTCTTACTGGCACCACATCCATTGACTCTGTGTGGGAGTCGCTGTTCCCCTCTCCCTTTCTTAGAGTGCAAGTGGGTTTGCTGTTTGTTCATCTCTCCTCAATGTATTATTCATGTGTCAAATCAGACCATAAAATATTATTAAATGAACACAAACTGTTTTGTAAATTTGTTGGTTAGTTACATTCTGAAGGAACATGAATCACATCCACAGTTAGAGAAATGATATTTAATCACTTCAATCAAAAGAATCTTAATAACATTTATATATATGCCAATAAATTATTTAGTATACCCAACATTAAGCTCCTAACAATAATACTTATATCCTCATCAATATCATCATAGCCACCAACATAGTACTGTTGTCAACAATACAGCAGATAGCAAAATGTATGAAACATTCAAACAGACACAGTAAGTGCATTTGTGCTCTGAAATTTATCACTCCCTTAATGGATTTTTGGAAATACTTTGCATTATTTTTAAAGCTGTGGCAATAAAAATTACATTTATCCCTTTGTGCAACAGCTAATTTGCTTCTGCAGTATTCATTGTATTTTATTATTGTACCAATAATTAAACAAATCTTTTAATACTGTACTACCATCACCTTTTTGGTCTTATGGAAAGTGGCAGTTCTCCGAGAGATCTCTGCATCAACATTACACTGTGCATAGCATTCATTGTCTCCCTGCCACAGTTACATACGCAGTTCATTTCATCCTCACAGATTTCACTATTGTAATAATACAAAGGAACTGGTTCTCATTATACAATACTCTGAATTGTACATTTAACCTTTCTTAAGTTCAAATACTTTCATGAGTAGTCTTTAGACACTTACAATTTACATTCCTCTCTTAAAACAAGAGATCATATTTTACACCTATATAACACAACTGGCAAAATTACTGTTTTGTATAATCTGAGCATCAATGTGGGAAGTACAGAGGATAATAGTTTTCCATGAATAATACACTGAACTGATGGGATGTTGGCTTTCTACAACCTTGGCATGTTCATCTTTCTAAAAGTTATCATTAGTAAGTTGTAAAGCACAGTCAACCTATGAACTTCAAACACGTAACGAGTAGCAATCATAGCAAAGGTCAAAATTCACCAAGGTCAATCAAGTACATGTGGAGGATGTACTACTGTTGTGTTTACTGTCTGATTCACAAAAGCTTTTTAAGTAGGCTACATATGGGGACAACAAGAACTGGCAATAGAATTTTTATGAAGTTACTACAAAGACTATGAAAATGGCAAGACAACATTTATATTTGTAATACATAAGCTGACTGTGAGCATGAGATGTGAATGGGACTGGCTCAGGTTCACATCCAATGCCAGGCTCATCTATTAACACTGTTGGACATTTGGGTTCTGCTACCAGATGCTTTAGTTCCAGCAATCCACATTTTAAAAACTGTTAAATAAGCAGTCATCTGGAGAGTTATTTTTGTAGTGTAAAACCAACAGTAGTTGTTTACAATAACAACCAGCATTATGTCATTCACCTAAATTTACCTACACATTAAAAATTCACCAAATAATCCACAAGCCTCACAGATTCCATGAGCCGGAGCTCATGAGAAGTCAACAGTAACTCAGCTGACCAACTTCATTGTATTATTTACAAGATACCAACACTGAAACCTAATCCAGTTGAATCCAGCTACTTCACAAGTACATACAATATTTCATTAACCCTTTGCAATGGCATGATGATATTTAAAAGACCCTGTAGTAACAGTTTTACACAGATTTTTAAGTGACTTGTTGGGTACCACAAATGGGAATATTTAAATGCTACAAGAAATTAATTTTCATATTCCCTTTCCATCTTTGCAAGTGATCTCTTCCCCCTGAGTTAACTAACTAGGATCTTATATACATTTCTTATTAGCTCCATATGTGCTACACACCTAACCCATCCTATAAACATTCATTTTATCACCATAATAATATTTGGAGACTCAGACAAATTATAAACAAAAAAATTTCTTTTAATATAGAAACAAAAACTACTCAACTAAATGGTGCAAATATCCCGCAGAGAATTTTTTAATTACAGTCCGTAAGAAAAAAGATGGCCTGATCAAAGGAGATTTAGATGAGGACAAAACAGACCATTCTAATACTCTATGCTGACAAACTTTTTTAACTGTAAACATTTTAAAGACAAAGATTTGCATGACATACAGGCATGAATCTCTCCCCTTATGAAAATGCATTTTGATCTTCAAGAGATCAAGACAAAAATGTTAAAAGAATAAAAAGATTAACACTGGACAGAGTTCCAGAAATTGGTTGCTAATAAAGAATATAAATAGTAGCGGTGTTTTGGATGAAACCTGTCTACCTGCCCTTTACTCATAGACACAAATGGTCAATGCAATATCCACTATGAAAACAAGACACATAATAACCCAAGGCTAACCACTGGACAACCCACACTCACTCACTGTTTCCACCCACTCAGCTTGCAAAAGTCCCAATGATTGGTAAACCCACTTACAAACCAACCTCCTATTGGCTGAACCCACACAGGGATGTCCTTGCCTACATGCTGGCACCACAGGTTCTTTTTAAAAGAACATAATATTTCACAACAGTGAAGTGCCTGTGTTACATAATTTTCCTCTTATAAGCATGGTGTCATCACTAAGGAATTCTGAGAATAACACCATGGGCAGTGCATTAATCAGTTCTAGTTTTTTTTCTTATGTGTCACAACCTAGGCCATCAGTCTCAATATGTTCCTTTTGCAATCAATTACAGATAATCAAGAGTTTATTACACAGACTAGAAGAAAGCGAATTTCTACTACGAGGACAGGACTAGAATAACCACAGTTAAAGAAATCATGTAAACAATATATGAGTTTAATTTTTTCAATTCCAGATGCGAAATGGATTTAAACTACATATCAGAAATATGACAAATTAATTAAAGTGATTAGAGTGCCAAGTGTGTCATTTACTTTAATTTATCTTGAAGCGTCCTGCACAATATGAATCAATTTCGAGAACTGAACATAACTGAATTTTATATGATTTCATGTTATCATAGCAGCAAGTATTAAGATAAATTTCTTCTGGGAAGTTGTGTCATGTAGAATGGTAGAAATTTGCTGATAATTCAGAGGTGCTTGTTGCCTCCATCATGAGGGCAATGAGTACATCTCTAAAATGTTGTTGGTAAACTTCTACCAGACTACACAGTGCAATATCCTACAAGACAGCCATCTTCTACAGAAGCTTACTTAGGCTCTAAACTAATGAATCACCAAATAAAAATAATGTCTTCATAATATGGTTCTTAGGCACAAGATGAACTCTACCTATATTTTTCATTACATGTCAGAGAACTTCATAATTTGTGCTCTTCACCAGCTATTGTTAAGATTATCAAAACAACAAGAATTAGATATTTGGTACATGTAGCACAACATAGGGGAAACCAGTAAGACATACAACATTTTAGACAGAATACCTTTTGTTTTATTTCACTTCGCAGATATTGCATTTTTTACAAATTGAAGGTTTGTGGCAACCCTGTGTCGAGCAAGTCTATCAGCGCCATTCTACCAACAGCATGTGCTCACTCCGTGTCTCTGTGTCACATTTTTGTAATTCTCGCATTGTTTATTTAGACATAATGCCATTGAACTCTTAATAGACTACAGTATAGTGTAAACATAACTTTTATATGCACTGGGAAACCAAAAAATTTGCGTGACTCGCTTTATTGTGGTGGTCTGGAACCGAACCTGCAATATATCTGAGGTATGCCTGTAGTATAGATTGGAGGACAATATTAAAGTGGATTAAAAAAAAAAGAGAAGTGAAACATATGTTGAATTCAAGCAGCCCAGGATAGAGGGCAGAAGTGGGCTCCTGTGGACTAGCTGAGCAGCTACCAGCTGCTCAAGAAGGATCCTGATCCATGAAGTTTTAAAATGGTGTTCATTTATTAAGATTTCCTAAATACAGGCAGCCCTCGATTTGCACCGATTCAGAATAATGTCAATTTTGAAACCAGAACGTCAAAAAGTGAAAGAAATATATTTTACTATTATTTATAACGTTTTACAATGTATCTCGTACTGATTCTTATACTAAGTCGTAATTCTTACATCGCTGATTTTGAATAAAATTTATAAACACAGTCATCTCTGTAATTACGTATGTTTCGTTAATGCAAATGTGCTCCAATGAGATCGATGAATCGGTAAAAGTTGTTTATGAAATGAAAACTTTTGCATATACGAGTTTGCTCTTATGAAATTTCATTCCTGGCACTTTAAACTTTCAAAGGACTAATTTAATCTCTGCAGAGGTACCGGGGTTATTTTACTACACGATTTTCTATAGGTCGGCATCTTACATGAATGCAACTATCACATAACAGCAGAGATTATTGTACACATCAATCACATGAAAGAATCACAGTCAATCGCAGGGACCAATGAATTGCCGATTGTAAGTGTATAAAATATATTTTTTAAATTCCCTTTATTTACGTTATTTAAGAGCTTTAAATGTAATGCCATTATATTACTCGTCAATGTTTGGGTGCTGGGAACGCATGTCATTGACTTCCCATTGATTTACATTATAAAAGAATTTCAATTTACGCCGATTTGTCCAGGAATGCATCCCTGGCGTAAATCGAGGGCTACCTGTATATATTTACTCACATCTATTTATGAACCAGCGTTACAATAACTTATGTATTTTAAAACACTCATAAAACCTCTGAAATTTGAGTTTCTTACAGCAGTACTGGGTTGTGACACTGTATTCAGGTAGATTATCAACTTTTTTTGAAAAATGCATCACCTCCATCTACCCTGAAAATGGCAGTGATACAGTCCTTCAAGATGCCAGTAGCTACCTACAAGACTGTGCAACATCACAAGCTAGAAGACCACAATTAATACTCATAAATCTCTCTTTGACTACAGTCAGCTACTGAAACATTCAACATATGAAGTATGAGAAATAATAGACTTTAAAATGGGTAAGTTCATAGTTTGCTGTGTCAATCTCTACCCTGATCCCACAAAACTAACTCTCTAGGTAAGGTATGTTCACATCATGGTTCAATGTCTTAGTTCCTAACATGGTCACTTTTAGGTTCCCATACAATAAGAGGGGTCTGCAGTGGCCGTGCTGTCTGAGGCATGGGCCTTGTGCCACTTGGTCACTGGGACCGTGGGTTCGAATCCCACTCAAGCCATGGATGTTTGTCCGCATTTTTCTGTGTTGTGCTGTCCTGTGTACAGGAAGGGGCCTTGCGACGGGCTGATCCCTCGTCCAAGGAGTCCTACTGAATGTCTATAAATCGGGCCAACAAAAAGCTGGGACCCGCAGTGCTCAGGCACTTGAAGAACGGGTCGTTCCCAGTAACTCCAGAAAATATAAGTTAGTACTTAATAAGAACTACAAATTTCTCCCCAGTCTGTGACCAAGTTCACAATTATCTTAAGAAATCAGACTCAAGAACCACAGAACCATTACCTCAAACTTAACCGAGAATTCACACATCTCAAATTCACACACACACACACTTCTTTTTCACAGTAACATGAAAAAATAAACTCCAATTTATTTCATACCTGTCAATATAAATGATGATAAGAACGGAAAATGTTATCACCATAAAGAGATAGTAGAAAGAACAAATTCCAAATTGAACAGGTAGGGCAGATGAACAGGAAAAAACATAATATTCGGAACAGTTTGGCTAGAATCACAGTTACTGCTCTGCGTTGTGAAATGTGGCATGACCTTTAAGCCATGCAAATACAGCAGATGAGACACTGTGCTGCACCAAACATGGTGGCAACATGAAAATATAAGTTAATAAATTTAAAAAAGTATAATGGTAATTAAAAACTGATTACCAATTAACCATCTATAAAAGTTACCTAGTCTTTTAGAGAAAATGTTTAAACATTTACAGATGGGTAAAGCGGGCAGTGATATTTGCCATGATGTATCATTTTCATAAATCCAAATTTTTGAAGATGAAATTTTGATGAGGGATATCTGTGAATGTGCACGTTAAGTGAGAATTAAAATATGGTATAAGCTAAGAAAATCATATGGTAGTCACCTGCAGTGTTGGGTCATTTGGCGAAAGTGCTGCAATCTGTCTCAGGCGGTCATACAGAACAGCCAGCAGTGCCTGGTATCGATGGTTCAGGATATCTAGCTGCTTTGCTACGGTGTCAGCTCCGCCCCCATCAGTACACCGTGTGCTCAGTGTTGCATCCAAGCTAGGGTGTACCTCCTCCACGAGCCACCCAAGGTAACGCTGCAGTCTCAAGTCGTAAATCTGTTGGGTTGGGAGGGTTAGATTAGGGGGTTAGTCTGATTAGTAATACATACGCTGCCACCCTTAATTGTAAGTTTCAAGCCCAGTAACAACCACCATCACCACTATAAAGTGCAATGACCATAAATTGTGCTATGATTTGCTGCCAGCCTTATTATTAGATCAACAACCTTTCAATTACCAAATTTTCACCTACAGTTATATACATTCGCACCAAGACGTCATTGTTGCATCAAAATCTTAGCTCATCCTTGCAAAGAATCAACCCTGGTCACCATAAAATTGGTGTCCGAATATAGGTTTTTCATATCCACGTGATCAGCTGGCATTCAGAAAAGAAAGTGATTGCATCCATAAAAGAAGACATAGGAAACTTAATACATTAAAGGAAAATGATGAAGTAAGTGCAGGTTCTGTACAGTTTTAAATATGGCAAACATACTGCAAGTAATAATACATTAACTACCAGTATGGTAAGGTAACAACAGAAATATAATATATGACAGAGAGATGTGACACAGACAGAACTACACAACAGTCAAAAGGGCATACTAACCAGCAGAAGAAAGAGTACAACTTTCAACACAACAAGGGCATACAAATGTACGCACATCACGAAGTAATAATGATCCAAGTAACAAATGACGCAAATAGCCGCAGTAACTGACACACCAAGCAACAAACAGAAGTTAAGATATTCATAAGAATAACAAAAGTGATGCAGCAATATTGAGTGGCACAAGGACAAGAACAAGAAATTTGTGGTAAAAGTGTGAGGGGAGGATGGCCATAAAAAAAATTCAACATTTTAAGAATACTATATAGTGATCAAAAAAGGACACGCAGAATAATATCAAGAGAATAATACAAGAAAGTATTTGGCGACACCATAAATTCAGTATTTTAAGAATATACTGATCACAAAAAACAAAGACTACAGGGATAGCAAGCTTCCGGACAGAATAAATAAGGCAAATGTAATTTTAACAATTTTGAAACATTCTAACCATTTCAAATAATGTAGTAAATGTAAACAGTATAATTCAGTGATTCAAACACCATATCAGAGATATATTACGACTTGTAAGAATTAAAAGAAAGATAAAATGTAAGAGCCTGATTAAAGGATTATAAATAAGATAACAAAATGTAAGATATTAGAAGAGGAACTAAGACAGTGTCCCACAGGACCAAAATATACATGTAATAACAAAACAAAGTGTTAAAAAATTTGTTGTAAATGGACCAAAATACAAAAGCATTAAATTCAATATTTCACAGACAGAGAAAGAATTACTGCTCCAATGGCCTCTGAAAACAGAACATTAGCTGACAATTTTATCAGGAAGAATCTGACTCATTTAACCTAACTGAACAAGTAATAAACTTAAAAGCTTACTGTTCCATCAGACCCTTAATGTTTTAAAAAGCAAACCAACACAGCATTTTCTTAAGTCTGTTTCATCCTCAGGAAACATACAGAATTTACTAAAGTGAAAATACCTGATGATATAACATGGCATATTTTTTCATAAAAAGAAGAAAAAACAAAACCTCATCTATTATCATTATACAAGATTAGACAAAAAATAGTGACATGCGTGATAAACTCAAGCTCAATAACTCAGCTACAGGAATGACTACATGCAGAAAAAGATGTCAAGTTCTTGTAACAAAATTGGACAGATGGGAGGCCAAAGTCAAAATAAAAAAGATGTCAAGTTCTTGTAACAGAATTGGAGAGATGGGAGGCCAAAGTCAAAATAAGTCTGCATGTGAAAGAACTGACAATTACAAGTAACAAACTAAATATAAGAAAAACCTAGAAGATAACAGGATTAATCTCAGGCTTATATAAGAATTATGTTGCCTAATCAATGAAGATAAAAAATGCCTTTAGTTGACTGCCTTCCCTGTTGACAACAGCAGAAAGTAAATGAGCATACCGAAGTATAAAACAAAATGTCAAAAATTAAATATAAACTTTACTGCAGAAAGGTTTTGGCTGCATCTGCAAATCTTTTAGATTTAGAGATTCCCACAAGAATTTGTACCTGTTGCTTAAACTATAAAAGTGTTGACAAGCCTGAATGTATTCAGTGCCCGGCAGCTGACCATCTGAAGTAATACGCACATTCCTAGAGCATGTTCATTTTGATGGTTGAGTTACTGACGTTAAGAGTACATTCAAGTTCCCTTAAAAAAAGATTCTCCACGTATGACTGTTGCATTGCACAAACTTCCATGGTTCCTTTTTATCATGGCTTTGTATTGTATTAATGGCAGTGGTCAGAAGAGAACTGAACTAAAACAAATGCTACATTAAATTTGAAAACTCCTCAACTCCTCGACACAACAGGTAAATGATATGGTCACCAGTTGCTTGCTACACTCCTAAAATGTGTGAAATGTCCATACTGTATTTACTCCGGGCATACAAGAACTCCTGCAACAGAGTTACACCAATGACAAATATTTACGTCTCTAAACAGAATGATGTTTTTCAGTCATTATAAGCATCTGTAAAATTGAAGTCCAGTTTGAATATGAGCAACAGTCATCGATCATTTGACTGTACTTTTGTCTTTTTTGATCAACAGAGAAAAGTGTACAAGATATGAGGTTCTGTTGGTGTTACATATGTTGATTCTGGGTCGGATGCCGTGTAGTTCTGTAAACAGTTATCAGCATTTTGAGAAATATATCACCTCTGTCTTCAAGGAAAAAGATGGAAGTGACATGTTCCTCCAAAATGCTGGTGACCACATACAAGGCTGCATGGCATCACAACTCAGAACACTACAATCAACAAAAATAATCTGGTTTCATACATCTTAGTTATGTTCCATCATTTCAGATTACCTACTTCTCTACATTAAATGAGTTCAATCTGTAACAGAGTAAATACTGTACGTAAAATATACACAACTCTGTTAGTTTTCCAAACTCCTTCCATAATCAAATGACCCATCCACAGGTAGTTTACATGCTCAATGAAATTCATTTTTATGAGTATGTCCACTAACCTTTAAAATTAACATTTGTAGTAAATATGTTTATACAGACATCTAATAATCTTACTGCAAGTTGCAGAGTCCAGATTATCCAACTGTGAAGTTTAAACATGAGTATATGAATTTAAATTAATTCAGGGTTATTAGATTAATTTCTATTAATGTTATTCAGTTATAATAAACTGTAATAAATTATTTTGAGGGTTTTAGCCAATGCAAAAATGTAGTTCTCCACTACAAATATATAAATTTAAATGTATTCACAATATGTACATTTTATATTCAGAAACCACACATGCACACAAATCATTCACAACACATCCACACCGGCTTACCTACACATATTTTCTGATACATTATGCATCAAAATCTTACCTTAGCCTCACGGATGAAACGTCCGCCAACAACATTCACCTGTTCAATGGTCTGAGTGTTTTCTAGAACACTGTTGTACAACGCCTGAAATAACAAACAACAAATGTTTAAGTGTAACTCTAATTACAAAATTCTGTACTTTCAAATGGATTTCAACCATTTCCTTGGAACATCCATGATAAATGTGCATATTACAAAGCAAGTGCCAACTGTTGGTAAAACGAATGAACTACGAGAAGATTAATAGTGTCTGCAATAACTTGGTTCTGTGGCACATTACAGATCCTGACAAATAATAAAGTATGTTAAAACACAATGCATGACACATGAGAATTTAAAGCTACATTTCACAGTGTATTGTAATACTGCTGTTCATCTTGATATATTAGAATATGGGTGGCACTTTTATAACTGCATACATCATACGGCATCAAACCGGATGACGGTGAATAACGAACTGTTAAAAGAAGTCACTATGAGGTATACCCCACAAGTGGTCCCCAACGCGGTGCCCACAGGCACCTGCCAAGGCTTTTTTTTGGGTGTCCGCGTTGTTACAGAAAGATGTTATACTGAATAATGAAGGCATTATTGCGTATTATTTGGTGTCCATATCTTATTTGTCCAGAGAAAAGAAAATTTGGCTTTGTTAATTGGTTGGTGCCCGCCACGATCTCATAAAAGTCTCAAATGTGTCCGGATTGCACAAAAATGTTGGGGACCACAGGCCCACAATATACTTAAAGAGCGAGAGTAAAACCAGAACAAATTTACAATAGTCGGCCTAAAGGTGTATCCTTTGGAGTACACTGACAATCCAAAGATACTTTATGGCACATCATACATGTCACTGTTGCACTAATATAATCTGAGCAACACTATTGCATCACTATTGCATTAGTGTGATCCTAGGTAATTATGCAATATCTTCCAATAATTGGGGAAGTTCCTATGTTGCAAAACAATGACCCTGTCACGTATATTGCCTAGCTACCAGTAAAGGCATGGCAGATAGACAAGGATGGGCCCATAAGATATTCATCATATTCATTGCTCATGCTAGAGCATGAGGAATACTTAATAATCAAACTCGATACTTCCAAAAATTAAGCAGAAAGCTGTGCACTCTACTGTGACATTCAGTTTACTCACCTTGGTTGGCTCCAACTGCTCCTTTGCATTTACACCAATTGCTGCCAGGTTGTTCAGCTTTCCATAGTTCTCATCGACCCAGGACATCTCAGTCTGGTACGAGTTGGTATATGTCTGCAGAAGGCCATATGCTGCTTCACAGCTGCGAAGCCTGTCAACACAAGTTACAAATTACAACACACCAACAGAAAATGATACCTGGGCCTGGGGCCTGCTTACAAAAGCTAAAGGGAAAGTTACCAATGATACATCACAATATGATCTGCAAGTACTTAATTCTCATAAACAATATGAGACTAAACAGCTGGCAAATTTTTAGAGAGACTGAAAACAGGTATATGCCATGAACTATGATAAGGAAATTTGCCTATGAGGAACATCCTTTAAGGAAAAATCTTTATACAGTGAAACCTCTATCCATCGTTCCCGGAACTATCGTTTTCCCGGATGCATCGTCCGTTTTGTTCGGTCCCGAATACATGCCATATAAAATAATGTTACATTTTCCCGCTTCTATCATTCCTCGAACTATCGTTTTATCGCATCGATCGTTCAAAAATCTTAGTCCCGGCCCACAATTTTCCCGCAATGATCGTTTCTGAGAATTTAAAATGCTGGGTTTAGAGATAAATTAATACCGAAAGACGCATAATGTTTTTGGAATACACAGTAGCGGTAACCTGTTATGTCGCCCAACCAGCACA